AGAAAATCAACACAAAAAAGTAGAGACAACTTTTAAATGTCTCTTATATATAGGAACATGCCATAAGCATCAAATGTCTCTTATAATAAGGAACGGAGGGAGTAATCTTCTTCAATTTCTTTCTCATTTAATAATATGAATATTCTATATTACTACCCACATTCCTTAATATAAAAGCATATAAAAGCTAATTAATTAACTTGGGTACATAGACTAAAAAATTTCAATAAATTATTAAATTATAACATATGTGATATGATTTTTCTAAAATACATTTAGATAATATTAGATGATATATTAGTTTATAAGTTGGATGGTATATGGGTCGTACATACTGAGACAAGAGGGACTGTTTTTGGTGATTGATTGTACTGTAACCTGTGGTGTGTGTATTATATCTTTGTTTCTTGCTAAAATGATGTTCTGATTTGAAGGCGCATGTCTTCTCATGTTTCAAAGTTGATAATAATGCTGTTGAGAGACCAGCTAGGATCTGCCCGGCTTTGCTAGCTTACTCCTATACCTTAATTAATTTTGTTTGATGGTTTTTGTTTTGGAATTAAGAGGCTTTCTCTGAATGATTTCAGGGACATGTCAATCAAAACTTCTGCATAAGACAAACATATCCTTATTTAACATGTATGGCATCACATGTTGGGCTACATGGGCATTTAGTTCCTGTCCTATGTCTTCATCATCATCATAATATGCCTCTTCCCTCAACTGAAGAAACTCATGCATCCAATATATTTACAATTGATTAAACATATAACCTCGTGTTTAAGTAAGATTTAAGAAAGTGTTTCGTGTCAGTTTGGCCAGATAACCTTAATAATAAAAATCTCATAAATAAATAAATCAAATTGAATCATGATAATTCTATGTAGATAACATAATTTTTATGGTATGAAGAAGTCTTGAGTATTATGAAATCTATTTTGCCCTTTAGTTTTATAAAAAAAAAAAAAGAATAAAAACATAGAGAATACGAGAGTGATTAGGGCTTTTAAAAGGTGATGACCATTCTAATTAATATATATACATGATATTTCTAAAGGTCATTATGAAAAACCTCATGAAATCATAAATTGTTAATTAATAGTATAAAACCCTCTATTTTAATCCAAAAAGATTCTGATCATATATTGATGGGTTATTTATTAAAAAAAATGTAGACAGAAAAAGATGGAGGGCACAGAAAATATAATTGGGAGATAAGTGTTTGAAGGAGTTGATGAGTTTCAGGCTTAATGGAGAAATGCCGTGAAGAAAGAGACAGAGAGAAGTCCACAGAGTTCCGGTGAATTCCTTGGAAATGTTAATTATCACTCACTTGTCATACTCATAGCTCAAAAGCCATCCCTTCTTCCACCTTTAATTTGCCAAATGCCAACTCTATCTCCCTCACTTTGATTTCGTCCTTCCAATATTAATATATCTCTCTCTGTCTCTCTCTCTATGCGCCATCACATTCACAACCAAAAAGTTCAAAAACATGTAATTTCTAAGATTTTAATTTATTTTATTTCTCATATAAATTGTATAAAAAATTTATAGATAAAATTACACAACTAAAAAAAATCGAGATGTTGAGTGCATATGAGAAATAAGATCAATGATAAAATTTTTATATCTACCCAGTATTAATTAAGGAGCTCTTTCATTAAGTTGGAGGAGTACTTATAAATTAGTTGATGAGATCCTAAATACAGGAACTAGAAGATAATTTGTAGATATGAAGAAAATCCTTTAAGTTAATTATTTATTCGTAAAAATGTGTATTAGTTTTTTTATAATATTTTTTTAATTATTTGTATTAGAACTATTCTTTGATGAAAAATTTCTTTAATACATGCTATCAATAAGGAAAAGTTGAACAAGAAATTATAAAATCAAGAGAGAAAGTAAATTACGAGGAAAATTAAAGACATATAGCAGAGAACTCATGGAAGCGCAGGGCAGCATTATCAGCAAAGACAGTGAAGCGTGGGCTGTTTAATTAGCTTTTTTTTTTCCCTTCCTGTTAACTTTTCTTTCTCTCTTCTCGATCCTCCTCCTTTTTCTTCTTTTACTATCTTTTTGGCTGTAATGTGTTCTCTTTTCTGGGAAGATGACCTTTTTAGTCTCCATGTGCCTTCTCTCCTATGTCTATCCATCGCCTTCATTATTCCAACACTACAATCTCTCATTCCAACCATCTCACATGAAAGACAAATGCCCTTAAAGTGTGGCCTTATGCTCACCCACAGGTGCACCAACTTCATTCCACGTCCCCTGCCTCCCTCCCGATCGTGACGTGGCTGTCAAAAGCATCCAGCTTCCATGGCTTCTCGCCTTTCCAGGAATATATATATATATATTAAAGTAAAACAAAACAAAAAGTCATCCTCAAATAACAAGTCATAAGTGGTAACATGTCGCTCACAATGAGAAATAGAAGAATCAAGATGAGTTGGCAAGGCAAGGTTGTTCTATTGACATCACAAAAGCTTTAATGACATGAATGCTCCTCAGTGAATGAAAAACCAGGCTTTAATCTCATCTATGATCTCAAGCCGTTAGTCCTTCAATTAAATTATTATTCTTCTTTTTTAATTTATATATATACATAGTTAAGCGAAAATTTATGATGTGGTAATTATGTTAAAGTTGTATTATGAATGAAATGGGGCAAGAAAAGGTTAAGCCAACAAACCCTAATCATAAATTTGGACGTTGGGACCCTCCTTGAGTTTTGGGCATCTTTTTTTTTTTTTTAAATAAATTTTTTAATGTTATTTTAGAATTTTCTGAGGCAAAGTCGAACAGTGATAGCTCAAGAACAAACCATGTGAGTGGGGAAGACCCGTCTTTAAATCCGAAAAGAGGAGTTTGCTTGTGCAATAGTCCAAAAAGTCAAAGCATCAAATCCAAAAATACATCGAAAAGTCTCTTCCTTTTAATAAGAACAAAACCATCAAAATACTCACATCATATAAATATATATATATATACGCACATATATATATCACACACACACACACTGTACCTTTCCTCTTTCGCGTACATATACTGTACTCTGAAGCATATTATTTGTCTTTTCATCATCTCTCTCTAACTCTTCAACAGTTTCATTTCAATTTTTTCACCGAAGAACTTTTAACCTTATATAGATATATATGAAGCAATAAAGTTTAATTTCTTGTACGTTTGGTAGAGGAATGATATATATATAGTCAGTATCTAAAAGCAGGAAGAAGAGCCGAAAGAAGAAAAAGATAACGATATATCGAACCCACACATGATAGTTTGTTCGCACATTTTGCTTTGATTTATTAGGTTTCTGCTTTTTCATGTAACTATATATATATAATAATAATAATAATAATCCATATATATGTGTGTGTGTGCGTGTGCCTTCTGGAGCCTTAATTTGGATTTAGCTGGAAAACATATTTCAAAGTTGTGTTTATTTTAAGCTTATTAAAATGTAATGAGTGGACGATATTGGTTTTAGTTAGGTGATGTGGAATCTTTTTAATTCATTGATTGACGCTTATATGGACAGTGATATTATAGAAGCACCAGTCTTTTTTGACCTTTTATTTGTTCCTACAAATCACTTATTTTGGGGACAGAAGGGAGAAACATAGGTTAATCAACACAAAAAAGAAATCATGCAAATTACTTTAATTATTATTAACGTACTTTGATTTTCCAGAGTGACTGCCGTTCTCTGAAGCTTAATTATTATTCTCTGTCATTATTACAGAGGGCTACTTTAATCACTTGACATTGTTAAAAAAATTCAGTTAAAGATAGAGAATCTTATCAAATTTGTCAATAATTTGAATTAGTTTTAAAAATTACCTCTAAAACACTCTATTCACTCAATTAATCCCTCTCTCTGTATTTTAAACACCCGATATTAGAAACAGTGAATAATAATTAATGATTGGGTTGGATTGTCTTGGCTGAAGCATGTAGTGTGTGGAAATCTAAATATGTGAATGATTTTGAGAAAAGATAATTAGTAATTAAAAATTAATTTGACTAACGAAATTTGTAAAATATGAAATTAATAATATTTTACGTAACTATCTGCTTAACTATAACATTTTTTCATTAGAAAATAATAATAACTCTCCTAAAACAAACAACTACTAGAAACTACATGTTGTGATTGATCTCAGCGCCGGCTTTTCAAATCCAATTTCAACTGCTTTCTATTTACTTTTTGTGTGTGTGTGAATGAAGCATGAAAGATCGGTTTTTTAAACGAAGTATTTATGTTTTTAATATGCACAACAAGTAATTTTATCAGGGTGTATTAAGCTTTGATTTTATTAATTTGTAATAGGAATGATCAAATTGAGTTTAAACGAAAGGCACCTCGTATAAATCCATCATGGGAAAGCATGCATCGAATTATATATTGTCCCTAAAAAAATATATATTAAAATTATATTTAAAACTTCTATTATAATTAATGAATTAATTTTTTAATTTATATGAACTGTAAATTTTTCATATATTGCACTTAATGTGTTGTGGAAAATTTTCTTGCAGGAATTATATACCAGCTGTGTAGAAATGAATGTATATGGTTATGCATGTATTAGAATATCGTACAAAATATGTTCCCAATTATTTAAAATTATACATAATTATAATTACTCACTGTACATGCAAGATGCACATTTAATTATTTATTTAGTTTTATGAATTTTAATTTATGAATTGGAATAACAAAGAAATATATTTCAAGGCTTATAATTGTCCAATTTATTATTGACAGCAGATTGGGCCAGTCATCTTTATACTTGGGCTTTGACCGCTCATGTTCTGCAAATGTCTATGAAAAACTGTTGTGGGCTTTTAACAGGAATATTGGGCCCGTCGGATTTATGTTGGACCTTCCGGCCCTTGACTTTCCCGACCCAATATTGCCCTAATCCTTCTTTTGCTCCGTCGGCCATTCTCACCGCCGTCCAAGATTCTTCTGTCACCTCCCGTCGCGCTCTCCACCCCATGCGCTAATATCCTAATCCTGCTGTGCCAATAATTTTTGCCATCCATCGGCCGACGAGGAGGCAGAAATTGAATCGATGAGGAATCCATCACACAAATGGGCATACATTAGGATCATCACTGGAACAATCGTCGGGGGCATTCTTGGGTTCTACGTTATGCATCGCCTCGAAGCTAATTATAAGGTTACTTCTCTACTCTCTCTTTACTTTTTTAGTCCATTTTACAGGGCGTGATAGAGAGACTAAGATTTGAGATTGATCGGATTTTGAGCTGCCTGATGGAAGGACCTAATAATTCAACTTGAAATCATGTGCTTTTGGAATGTGTCTTTTATCTTATTTATTTATTTTTGTCTTGTTTGAAGTGTAACTAATGGCTGATGTGGGGAATTGTGTTGATAACAGGAGAGAATGAATGAAAGACTGAGAAACTATGAAGCCGAATTGCAGAGGAAGAAGCAAGAGAGACTGAATGAGTTTAAAGAAGAATCGTCTTAGCCTTCCGATTGAATGCCACGCCTCTTCTTCGGGCCCCTGTTAGAATTTTTGTATGATCTCGCCTTTCCTTTTCTTTTCTTTGCCCGGTGTCTCAGAAATGCTGTGGAACTGGAAAGAGATGCCATTATTCTGTTTCTAGTAGTTAATTTTATGAACTTGGTTTATTGAAATCGAACATCTCTAGCCTTGCTGACATTCATGTTTTGGACATGAAAATGGCTGTTGATCAGTGATTGTGAGCTATTCCTCTGGCATAACCTTTTGATTATTATCATTATTTGAATGCATTCCAATAAAAATTTGTATATTAGACCGGTTCTTCAGTTACTAGTTAGGAGTTAACAGAAGATAGAACCTGATCCTTGTCCACCAATGTCCCATACAGCCCTAATACTTTCAGCAAAATCACCTCCAAGAGAAGACCTCAAGGCAGTGCGATACACCCTTTTCATTACATCCCGGAGCTGAATTGTTACTGCAGCTCAGTGTTTGATCCAAAGGATGGGTTATGATGGTATTCGAACTAAAAGCTGCTTCAAGTCTTTGACTGTGCCTCAGACACCCAGGTTTAGAACTGCATAATCAATGGACTTGTTTAAGATTCTCGTCTTTGATAACTCTTGTGATGCTCAAAGTCTCAAAGATATTACATTTCATAATGTATCTGACAATGTCATTTATTTTTCAATAAACATAGAACAATGTATATAGTGTATGTGGTGCATTACTTGTACATCCAAATGCACGATGAAGAGGGCCTGTCTTTAAGGTCAAAGTACTACATCTGTTGAGACATATCTTCACTTTAATGCTTGATGTGGATGATAAAGCAATTTATACAACTTTGTAGTATATGGAGAAGCTTTTAATAAGATCATCATCACTGTAGGAGAAACACTGATCTTGATTGCTAATATTCTCCTCAGCGCGGCTCTTCCGGTTGCTCTTTCAGTAAATTCCCCATTCATGAAGACAAATTTCAAGGCTTGTTTTGCGGCCGCAGACTTCTAAGCTGGTGGATGAATGAGAAATGAAAGGGAAACATGCCATTGATTGGATCAAACTTAGGGAGTGTTTGGGTAGGATCAAAACCGAAGTGCTTTTATGATATACGAAATAAATATGTGAAGAAATTTATCGCGATTTACGAAAAAGTGTTTCTGAAAAGTGATTATTGGGGTATCCAAACATCTTCTTAGTCAAGTTTGTAGTTCTCGCTTGTCTTACTTTTTTCATATCATCATTTAATTCTAAAGCCACAATCATCATTTAATTCTAAAGCCACATGAAAAAAATAGGATGTGTCAAAATAAGATGATTGTAAAGAATCTGCCGCGTTAATTATACATAAGCTTCAGTGTAATTGGGCCACAAGGCCAAGTACAGTGCTTGACCTTTTCACTCCCTGCGCTACTGTAGTACTGTGTGACTCTGAGCAGCGGTCGTTTGTCATGTTTTAATTATTTAACTAATCATTAATAAGAATATCTAAGAAATTTATTATGTATTTAAATATCCTGAAATTTTCATATGATAATTGACTATTAATTAAATTATCAACAAAAATCTAATACTTCTACCCTTCCATCCAGTCTTCATCAAGTCTGCAATTTGTCTGAGGAAAATGTTAGGTAGTAGATGGAACGAATTAGCTGGATGTTGTTTAACCTAAGCTTCCAACTTCATAAGTAAGATCTTGTAACCTTTTTTTAAAAAAACAATTTAACCCACGTAGGGGGGCGTCCGGATCAATGTGCGTTGCAGGCTCTTGTCTATCATATGGCCGCCCTGTGACAGCAAAATCCAACAAACCCAATGGTCTCATTTGTGGACCATATATACAACAACAATAATAATAATAATAATAATAATCTCTCATAACCTCTAAAATTTAAAATGAAATAGTGCGAGAAAAGAAAAAGAATTAAGAGTACTATATAATCGTCAGGTCCAACGATAATTGCACTGTGGGAACGGACAAATCAATGGAATCGGCCTTCCACCACATTACAGCATAGCAAAACAAGCACATTGGAGTGACCGAGGGATGAGAACAATGCACAAAACATAGCAGAGAACCGCTTTCGTTGTTTTCTGTGTATAAAAAAGGACTTTAGTTTTGGAAGTGCGTAATTAAGAGGCCAACTAATTAAGAAGGGTGGGATTAATTTGGGTTAATTAGAGGAAAAGATCATCTATCCAAAGTAAGTGATATATTGAAGATGGGGTCCCAAGCTGTTGCAGTGTCAATGCTTGTGTTGAGGATCATTGCTCTGGCAGCCTCAGTGGCGACAATCGTTTTATTGGTTACTGACAATGTCAAGTCTGATGGTTTTTTTATCTTCCAGTTGAAATTCCAAGATATTATAGCTTTCAGGTAATTCATTATCTTCTCCACAATTCAACATCTTCCATCATCCTCTTCCTTTTATTACTTAGCTACATTGATCCTCTTTAAAAATTGATACCACCAATATAGAAGCTAATTAGAAAGTTAATTTTAGTTCTAAATATAAGACTCAATCCATTTTATCTTTTATATTTATTATTTTTTTAAATTAATTTACCTAATCTATTATTAAACATGAGTATTTAAGGGAGATCATCGTTTGATTTAATTAATTAACATCTGTTTGATTTTTACATCTACCTAAATTTGATAAGTAGCTCTTATGTTAAAATCAGAGTAATATAATGAATAATATATGGAATTAATGCGGGTGTATGCGTGTGTGTGTGTGTGTGTTGGGCAGGTACGCTTTAGCAGTAGCAGCAATATCAGCAGCGTATGGAATCCTACAACTTCCATTTGCAGTGTACTATGCTGTGAAGGAGAAGAGACTAATACGCAATGGCTGCTTGCCTGATTTTGACTTCATTGCCGATAAGGTAACATATGTTTATGCTAAAAAGTCTTGAATCTAAAATGAAGATAGCCTTCTAATCACTTAAAAGTTGAAATTATATATGAATCATCTAAATTTAGATACAAACTATATCTCTAATGTTTATGATTCCTATCACTGTGATGAGCACGGAATGTGACATGCAGGTGATTAGTCTGGTGCTGGCAACAGCAGTAGGTGCTGGAATTGGTGTGTCATATGAGGCCAAGAGAGGGTCTTTGCAAAACGCAGGAGTGCCAGTGTTAATCATTGTGGACTTTAATGACAAAGTCGACCAGTTTTTTGAGAGAGGCATTATTGCTTCATCCGTTCTGGCTGTGGCCTGCCTTTGCATGGCCATCGTATCAGTCATTTCCTCCATTGATCGAAGCCGAAGCAGAGGAGGCTTCTTCAACTGAACATTTCATTCATTTCTTCTATCATATCATCCTCAAAATAATTAGAGCCAAGATCTCTGCCTATGTATAAAGTGTATTCCCTTTGATTTCATATATAAGGCATATTCTTGCAGAAAGTGTTTGTTTTTTCACAAGGCATATGATAGTTTTAAGGAGTATTTTATATATATATATATATATATATATATCTATATATATTGCCAATGATATTTACACACACATATTCCACAAGGTAAGAAAGAGAGGAAACTAACATGATATTGGAGTTTAGTATGATTATTTAGGCCAATATTCTCTAATCACTTAAATTTTTTAAAGTTAAAATATGATTTTGAACCTGATTTTTTTTAGGTGTTTGCCCTTAATCTTTAGGAGCAATAGGGGCAAAATTGCACCCAAAAAAAAAATCAGGATCAAAATTACACCATTAAAAAGATCAGGAACAAAATTACATATGAGAAATAATATCAAGGTCAAAATATATTTAATGTTTTAAGCTTTTTTTTATTAATATGTGTGAATTGTTTAAAATGCGTTAATTTTACTCTACGGTGTTCAATCTAAACTAGAGCTACATGCCCAACCCGCCACTCTTTTTTAACTTTTATATATATCTTACACTTTTTTTCCCTGTACGATATACATGAAAATAGAATGAAATCTTTTTCTTCATAAGCCTAAATCATTAGAATACATTATTGATAATCACAAACATCAAATGTTTAAATTTTTCAAAACATTACAAACAAAAACATCTAATTCAAGCATGATTTGCCAAATGAAATTTTAAGTTCAATAACAAGCTGATTACAACATGAAATATGTTTGTGTCAATCATTTCATTTGGATAAATCACGTTTGAATGAAATATTGTATGTTTGCATTGTTTTGGGTAATCTAAATATTTGGTGTTTGCAATTGTTAACAATGTATTTCATTTAGATTTGTAAGGAAAAAAGAAAAAAAAAATATATAAAAAAGCATAAAAGTGGCAGGCTTTGATTGCCCTTTCAGCTCACCCCACCAAGCTCGCGTCTCGTGGTAGGCTATCCCACAACCCGCAAGTTGGCGTTATTATCAGTTCCTAAATCTCCAACTTCATAAATCTAAGTATCAAAAAAGAGAACACAGAAGGAAACCATTTAATTCACCATAGCATACATCAGTTCCAATGTTTGGTGCAGGCACTCGTCTATTAGATGAATATGGACGCCAAAAACTTGAAGTCCAGTCTTACTCGTCTTAACTCAGTTCAATCTGATTTAACCCGATATTAAAAAAAGCAACACAATGTGTCTAGTTTGAGCTTGTTTAATGCTTCTGGACGGTGCTGTTTAATTTCATGATTCGGCATTGCTCCCTAGTATGGGTCCAACATTTTTAAAACGAAGTAGTGTGTCTACATTTCTCAAGACAAAAAATATTAACTGAAGTACTCTTCAATTCTTAAATATTGGAGTGAAATAACTAATTTATTAAAAAAAATTAGGTAAGTTACTTATAGGTAAATATTTGTTGATTTCCTAAAATGCTCTTTTAATCACTTATACATAAATTACTCTTTGATAAAAACCTCCTTAATAAGTGCAACTGGTAGGAATAATTTCGATAACATATTATAAATTTATTTTTAGTCCTATTTATAAGGCAAAGAGAAATTTTTTTATTAAGTCATATTATTAAATTTTCATACAAATGTACTATTTTATATTTATTATTATTTTAGATTGATGCTTTATTGATAAGTGAATATATTAAACAGAAATAAAATTAAAATGTTGTTCAATTTCAAATAGATTGTTAATACTATTTAGGGTTTTTCTTACTTCCGGTGAAGCATGTTCTTACAAGTGACTTGTTAAAAAAGTATGTTAGACTTTTAGGATCACAACAAATCCCCATTAACTTCTATATCGAGGACTAGAGGAGTACATATAATCGACAGGTCCAACGTCAATTGCATTGTGGGAATGAACAAACTAAAAAGAAACCGGCTTTCCACATTAATTAGTACAATAACAAATGAAACGCATCGGAGTAAACGAGGGAGGACAAGGGGCAAAACACAGAGAATATAATATGTGTAATTAAGAGGAGTGAGATTAATTAGGAGAGAGTTGATTATTAGAGGAAATTAAAGATCATCGATCCAAAGTAGTAGTAATAATATAATGGCGTCTCAAGTTGCCATCTGCATGTTTGTGTTGAGGATCATTGCTATGGCAGCCTCAGCGGCAACGATAGCCTTACTGGTTACTAACAATGCCAAGCTTGAAGTTGCTTCTTTTCACTTCGACTTGATCAAATTCCAACATGTTATAGCTTTCAGGTGTTTAATTATCTTCTCCACAGTTCTACATCTTTAATTTTATCGTCTGTAATTGAGCTTCCTTCCCCTTCTGTGAGAAAATTCCACTCCAATCTTGTTCTAACATAGAAGCTTGATAATTGATATGTGTACATTAATAAATTTGTTAATTTAGTTTTTGTAAAAAATGCGTATTGGCCTTACTAAGATATCCCTTCTAATCATACGCA